TAAAAAAACCAATGGTTTGACATTTTCCAAAATAAAAAATCAAAATTTCCAATCTGATTTTGGTTTTACAAAAAAATGAACCATTCTCACTGATGTGAATTATGACTATTGGTTTAGCATGCGAAATTTGTGACATCCCATGAATACGTAGTTACAACATCGTTTGAACTCGTAATTCATAGTAAGGGGTTAGAGTATCATTGCATGAATACGTAGTTACAACATCGCCTGAACTCGTAATTCATCACCTATAGGTTATGGGCATGCTGGCGTTTCCATTGAGTTGTCTAGAATAGTCTGTGGTCGTCATCTATACTCTGGTAGATGACTACATCGCCACATTTCCGGTTAAGGTTATGGTATCTCCTTTCATCCTACATCACCTATTCATCATCATCTATTTACCTAATTATTATCACCTTTCTATCATCACCTATCTCTCATCATTTTATTTCATCACACACCAACTATTTCATCTACCCATGTTTCATCCGCAACTTATTTGTAGATATAAAATAAATATACCGTTTAAATCTTTTGAAACATGTATAAAATTCTTCATCCAGCATAGACAACAAGTATTGAGATAATATGCATAGATAGCACGTCATTTATATAAAATACTTCATATCTATGTGTAAGATGAAAGTAACTATATATACCATAAAAATCCCATAAATGCTTGCTAACTTCAAACCCCAAGGTTTAGTCTACTAAAGCTTCATATTCTCGGCTCTTTGGACCTAGAAGGGTCCAGATTCCTAACTTCAAATCCCATGGTTTACTCTACTAAAGCTTCTTCTTCTCGGCTCTTTGGACCTAGAAGGGTCCAGATCTACAACAAAAACTTACAAGAGGGGTTTGAGGCATTCAAAACCCTAAAGATGAAGTGATTTAAGCCCTAACCCCAAAATGGAATCTACACAATAGGGAAGGAAAAGGGTTCATTTTTGTACCTTGTAACGACCCAAAATTTAGGATCAAAAATTTCTTTTAATAAAACATTACTTAAAGCAAAGTCATCATTCCAAAACATAATATGACTATAAGTTTTCAAAACACATGTTCATTATCAGAGTAAACATTCCCAGGTTGTCTAAACTATGGTGTGTGCCATGGGATCACCCCAAGCTCTTCCCTCCGCTACCGGAAGTACCTGAAACCAAAACTGAAAACCATCAGCACAAAGCTTAGTGAGTTCCCCACCCTACCACATACCATGCATAACCACGTACAGCACATACTAGGCCACGCCCGCTATCTTGGGCCTCGCCCCTACCTCGGGCCCCGCCCGCTACAACGGCCCCGCCGCTCCAGGCCCTGCCTGGCTTCGAGCCCCGCTCGGATACAAATCTGTTTTACTTAGGCCTCGCCTGTCACAGGGCCTCGCCCGCCAACAAATAATAATACATAAACATATCACATCACATAAGTAAACACATGCAATTGGTTCTGTCCTAAGGCCACACCTATCATGGGCCTCGCCCATGTTCTGCTACTGATGAGATATGGAACCCCATCCACACTCTGCTATTGGTGAGATATAGGACCTCGCCCACACTCACCTCCCTACCAAGCACATACATGTATTACACAGACAACAAGTATAATCTATCATATAAACAAATCCTTGGGCACCCGCCCGTTATTACTGGACCTCGTCCTGAATATCATACTAGCATATTGTGCCTAGGGCTAACCCCCGGGTCTTCTACTCATAACTACATGGGTCGGCATTGTGGCCTTGGACCCATTCACACAACGGGAAACTCACCTGCACTAGCTGAACTTGCTGATGATCTCACTAGCTGCTGCCCGACAACTCAGTGAACTCCTGCTCCCCTTGCTCCCCGAACTACCAATATCAAAGCAATACTGAGTCTAACTGACCCCCGAAAGATAACCAAGTCAACCCTGGTCAAAGTCAACCTTCCAGGTCAACCCTACTCGCCGAGTCACCCTACTGACTCGCCGAGTCTGTCCATGACTTGCCGAGTCTACCGACTTCTGAGTCCTGACCTGTCCAACTCACTGAGTCTCCACCTGACTCACTGATTCGAGTCTCAACTCGAAGGGTTTGGGGTTTCGCAACCTAACTCGCCGAGTCCAAGAACAGACTCGCCGAGTACAAGGCAATCTTCATCTGACTCGACGAGCTGTTCATCCCACTCATTGAGTTGCTTCACTACTTCATGCTACTCACCGAGTCCACTCAAACGACTCGCCGAGTCCATTCGAATCCCTTTACATGCAGAGGGCTTTTGGGTCATGCATGGACTCCAAACTGTAGATCTACCCTTCCCAAGCCCATTCCTCACGTAAAGTTGCAAGCTTTACGTGTAGAGAAGGAGATCTAGGCAAAATGCACCATGAACTAGGGTTTAAGGCAAAGAGGCTCCATGATCCACTCAAGGGCTGATACTTTGTGCTTTTCAAGACCATCATATGCTTAGATCTGAAGTAGCAACTTCAGATATGGCTTCTAACTTGAAAGAATAACATTATGGCTAAAAGCCCCAACAACAACACATAGATCTAGGTGTAAAGGAAGGAAAATAGCAACTTGTTACCTCCAAGATGGACACCACTAAAGTAGATCTCGGATCTACACCTCCTCCTTTGAAGCAACCTTCTTGATCTTCAAGTTCCTTTCCCAGAGTTCCTTCCTCCAAGCTATTTCTCTCAAATGATGGAAGCTCACACGAAATCAAGGGTGTACAGGTTCTCTAGGGTGATATGGGGGCTGAGGGAGGGACATAGCACTCTTTAAATAGGATACAACTCCCAGGATTAGGGTTTTCCTCGTTCAGACCACACTCGCCGAGTCACCTTAGCCAACTCGCCGAGTCGGTCGCTTACTCGACTCGGATCCCGCTCGGACTCGCCGAGTCTCCCCTTAAAATTGGGGTTTTCTTTCTTTTCTTGGCTTTCCAAACTTTGGGTGTTACATACCTCATAATGAAGCTCCTTGCTTGAATAACTCAAAACAATAACCTTCCTAGGTCCCTCTTGCTGGAACTCTTCTCCTTTCTTGCAAAATCACACCAAAAAGCTCAAGATAGCTTTTCCTCTCACTCTACACACTCAAGCTCGCTAGGGTTGTCACTTATGGGAAAGGTAGTCACAATTGAAGGCCATAAGTGCCTTTAAATATGGCTCGGGCCCAAAGATTTAGGATTTCTGCTAACAACGTGGACTCGTCGAGTCGCCTCACTGACTCGCCGAGTCCATTCATTAATCCGAGTCATCAGTCGCGACCTTACTCGACGAGTTGAGGTGTCAACTCATTGAGTCTCTCTTCTTAACTCAAAAGAAAAATACTTAAATTATGATACCTGGATATCTGGATGTTACATTTTGTTTTTTTATTTCATAGATTTCTTCATCAACAAATATTGCTACAATTAAACAAAAATAAATAATTTCCTAAAACATAATACAATAGGAAATTTGTTCACATTTAGCCATTGAACTTTTTAGAGGGAAACGAACTTTCGATTTTGTTCACATTTAGTCACTAAACTTTTTTTCGTTATCTATTTGCCATTAAACTATTGAAACTATTCACATTTTACCCTTATGACCGGTAACAGCCGGTCATAAGGGTAAAATATGAACAGTTTCAATACTTCAATGACAAATAGATAACGAAAAAAAGTTTAGTGACTAAATGTGAACAAAATCGAAAATTCGTTACTTTTTCAAATCATTATCCCTTTAATATAAACTTTGAGTTCACTTAAGCCATAGAATTTACTTTATAGTGTCATGCCATCATTAAATCAATTTTTCTTTTCACTTACAAAATTTATAGGTGTCATGCCTCACTACCACACTATTATTTTATTTACTTAGTTTTTTAATTGGTTAAAAATTAGTTGACACATAAAGAACACAAATGAGATGCAGCAAGCTACCCTTTCAAGATGGCTATAGCACAAGATCGGTGTTGTGTACACTGTACACTACGGTGCCCCCATTGGGCACTGTTATACACGATTTTAAGTTTGCTGTTTAGCCCTTTAGGGGTTGGCTAATAAGACACCCTATTTTACCATTTAGACAACCTAATTAATGTTTGAAGTATTTTTATTGGTTGAAATTGCATTGTTTTCCGAAAAAGATGATTAAAAGAAATTGATTATAAGTTGACTTTTTATAAAAATGATTATACGGTATCTAAGGAGTGTCTTATTAATATCAACCTTAGCCTTAGTTTTAAAATTAAAAAGTTATATGGTGATCAATGACAAGGAACGCATATCCATGCTCCCGTGTCTATATGCCCTGCAAAACCATGGAAGCATCTATTCACGTGATGCATAGTCCAAATTCTTGTAATAAGAATATCCATAATAAGGCTTTTAGCAACTTTTTAAAAGGTTTTTGTAAATAAAATTCTCCTGAAAAGAAGAAAAAAACTATTAGAGAAAATTTTTGAAAATAAATATTCTTCAAATAGTTTGTTAGCTAACAATATATATATATATATATATATATATATATATATATATATATATATATATATATAACAATAGTTTGTTAGTTAACAAGCTCTTGGCATGATAATAAAATAGTTTTTTTTTTTTTTTTTCAATTATATGGTGGTTTCCCAGATCATCAATTAACTAGAAATAGACAATTTCTACAAACAATAATAATAAAATGATAAAAACAAAAACAATGGTGACTTAAATAAGCAAATTGACAAAAATCTCTTCTATTATCCATAGCTCTAATATGATGTTTTTGTAGAAAGAGAAGTAGACATAGGGTCTTTGGCCGCTGCGGGTTACCGTCTTAAAATAATTAGGAATTAAGAAAGTTATTTTACTTTACCTAATCCTCAACAAAGAAATAAGAAAGTTCAAAAAATCAAGAGGAATTTATAATTTGTAAGAAATGAACAATGTCAAAACTTGGAAGAGAAATTAAGAGAGACAGAGAAAGCCAAGCATATGCTACTTCACCTTACTCACTAATGCGATGATTCATCGATACTACATGTAATTTACTAATTCCCCATTAAAGATACCAATAAACGCCTCCATCTCACTACGCGAAAGGCACACACCAATCTCCAGATCTTGATTCGATTCTTTGGTGGTGTTCATAGAAATCGTTTCACTATAATCTATCGAAATCGTTTCATACTTTTTAGGCTTTCCCCATCCAAAATCCGTGTCATAAAATTCAAGTCTTGGTGTTCCGGAAACCCCTGTGATCGTTGTTGGCTTCCCTTCGAAAGAAAAACTGAACCAAGTCTTGGCATCTTTCATGATACCCTCCTCATCATTCAACATCTTATGCAAACTCTC